GATCACGTAAATGTAACCGTCCAAGATGACCGTTCCAAAGTTGCTCCGGGGCGTCATCATTTCGGGAATCTCCATCCAAGAAGAGGACGAGGAAGCGTCAGGAACGAACTTTTCCGAAGTTGGGAGTCGGGTGTATCCGTTAAAACCCCCAATAGCGTAGAGGGAGTTCTGGAAAGCTATCAGACTCACCCCGGATCGAGCTGATATCATTGAAGAGATATAAGACCATTGATTAGTCAAAGGATCGTACATTTCAGCCGAATTAATCACTTCCTGGCCATTAAATCCACCAACAATGTAGATTTTGTCATTTAGAGTCGCTGCACTCGCATCAGACCTCTGTTTAAGCATCGAAGACACCAACTCCCACTGGTTTTTTACTGGATCATACCTCTCCACACTGTTCATCCTAATCCTACCATTATAGCCACCCATCGCGTATATCTTTCCCATACACAGCACCACACTGACGTAACATCTGGAATAGTACATACAAGCGCAATCACTCCACTCGTGAGTAGCCGGATTAAAGCATCTTACAGTGTTGAAGTACTCATTTCCATCGAACCCTCCAACAAGGTAAATTTTATCCTGATAAGCGCACATTCCATGGTAAGCTCTTGCCACTACATCAGTGTCGCTGGATATTAACCATTTTTCTGATCTGTTATCGTAGGTTTCAACGAAAGAGGTTGGACTTCCCGCGGTCCATCCTCCTATAACAAAAATTACATCGTAAGGAATTCTAGGTCGAGTTAGATATGTGTTTAAAGGCTCTACCTCGACGTCTCGTATATCGTGGAGTATAGTCCAAAACTCAGCAATGTAAAATATTTACACATGGTATCTTCTTGGATCATCGGCCATCGGGCAATCTTCAAAATTTTCTCTAAAGACAAGTTTCCCATTCGAATACACTTGATCAAGTCGAGTAAATGAGATTTTTTGTGTGTCTGGAAATGTTGGATTCCAGGTTTTGATAGCCTCGAACACTGTTTCTTCTGTTTTCACATTTAAATAGTCGTCAGAGAGAATTTGTTTGAGTTGTTTGGCGGGAAGTTCGCAAAAATACTCGTTGTTGTTGAATACTTCCGTGAAATTTTGGAGCAGGTAGATGTTTCCTTTGTTGGTAGTATTTACAGAAAAATTGCGTTGAGAACTTCAGGATTTGAAGACAGTTGGTTGGTGACAGGTCGTTTATAAGAAACTCGCAACATTTATGGACTAAGTTAAGGATTCCGTACTGATCGGCGTATTTGAGTACTTCGAAGACATTCGATGTAGTTATAACACAGTTACCGGTATATGCGTAGTCCAGAACTATTCTGAAAGCTCCGCTGGATATGTTGACGTTGGCCTCTTTGATTTCCTGACCGCCTCGGTTGATGGAATTGGTAAAAAGTGCCCGAAAGTACGGACTGATTGCAGAGAGAATTATTCGATGCACGTTAAACTCTGTACCATCGTCGCATTTCACTGTTCCATCGCAAAGCTGGTTTTTCGATCGTAACTCTTCCCAAATATTCGGAAAGTGGACGCTGGCACTGTCGCCCATCCCGTTGTTGCATTTCTTGCACTTTGGCGTTGTAATTCGTGCCTTGTGTCGTTTCCACGATTTTCCCTTGTTCAAAATAGGAAACGATTTGCGTTTCGTCGATGGCTTCCTTAACTTCATTGTAAAGCTCATTTAATCTGTGTTGTCAGAAAGGCGGGTGTAAATTTTTTGTATACTTGAACGGTTTTGACGTTTTGTCAGAAAGACGTTACAGTCTTTGTGAATGTCTCAAATGAAACGTCTTCTTCAATTTTGACATAGAAATATACCAGATATCAAGTAATATTTGCGACAGTATTTTTTTCAAGAAACTTAATATTCTAAAATTGATGTTGGTACATGTTGAATACTTTTGTTCATTTTATTTTTGTAAAAAAAAAAAAAAAAAAAAATTTTTAAGGAAAAAATGTCTGGATTAACTTCTTTTTGCGTTATCTACGTACGTAACGTATTTTAAAACATATTTAAAGTACAGTCTCACGGACAGATAATATGTAGAAATATCTATCATTGCAAGGTCAAAAAAGGTGTTGTTTTTAAAATGAAGTTTATTGTTTAAACAGGATATTTTTAATTGTTGAAGCTAGCAATTTAAAACAAGCCAAACTTTTTACTATGGATCGCTGTTAAAAATACAAAGCTGCGTGCGTTTAATGTCAAGGTCTGGAAAAAGGTTTGATACCTGCAATGAATAAATAATAACTTCTAACATTAAACAGCCCTGTCAAAAGTTCTATTATTAATAAGCTCGAAACTGAACTAATTAAATTATAGTAGCGATTGACCTGCACTTTTTAATAAATTAGATAGATAAAAATATTACTACCATAAAATATACATAAATACAAAAAGGTTGAAACTCTTTTGACATTGAAAAGATTAAGGAAGGCGCATATCAAAAAACTTAGGTCGAGCGCAATATATATCCCAAAATGGCCGATTTAAGTTCCGGTTTATCAGTGCCCTTTTAATTTTAATCCAACGTGAAAAAAATATTATGTAGAGTTAGACTCAATAATTTTGTTGTTTTATTTTCTTTTAACAAAAATATACAAAAAAAAAAAAAATTGTTATAAAATATATTAATTCTAATAATAAAGATTAAGTTATAATAATCATTTAATAACGATATACACCAGATGTACGCTATTGAAGCAAGTAAGTCAAATTCATTAGATAAAAGAAAATAAATGGGAAAATATCCCATCTATTAAGATAGATATGAAACTCCACAGTAAAATTTTGAGTCAATGCGTCCCACCGTGTCCTTAGTCAAGACTACGTTTAACTCAATTTTGCTCAGCGTCTTCGGCCTTTATATTTCTAATTGTTTTTTATATTTTTTTTTTTTTTTTTTTTTTTTTGAATTTATTTTAAAAGTTATTCTGATATCTGAATAATTTTAATAAAACATAAAAAATAGATAAATTTTACAGTTTATTAAAATAATTTTCTTTTTTTTTTTTTTTTTTTTTTTTTTTATAATATTTTAAATAAAACTTACATAAATATAGTTAACAGAAACATATAAAAACTAGCGGATGCCTGCCCACTTCGCTATCCACTAATATTTGAAACGATATATTTCTTTATACCGGGTGTTGCTTCGTCGGACGGGACATAGGAATCCCATGTAAATTTTAATGGGGTCAATTATTGACGTCCCTAATTATTTTAGAGAATAATTCTATTTAGGTTTATTGAAGAGCACTAAAACCCACATTCAAAAGAATAACTTTAGATATTTTTTTTTTTTCTCCTTTTTTATGGCCTTGTATTTACGTATGAGCATGATAATGAACAACGTCTTTGTCAAAATGAAGTTTAAATAAATTTCAGAAATTCCCACCTATTTAGTGCTTTATTATTATTGGCTTCATTCCTATATCGGAAATCTTAAGATGTATTTATAAGTACAAGTGTATGAATTAAAATTAAAATTTTTTTTTTTTTAAAAATTATGTATTTTAATACTGTATATTATACATATTCAAACTTATTAATTTAGGTACTATTAGAATTATTAGAACTTTACCCAGGATTCAAAGAGATGTTTGAATATTCTGCCATCGACTGCCTAGATAATAACCAGACGATCCGCGTTCTCTTCACCCACATTCCGCTAGTTGGTGGCTGAGTGTATTGCATTCGGTAGAAATGGCATTTTTTAACTCCTAGATTTGGGTATTTTTTTGCCTTGTATATCCTGTTTTTAAATGTATTTAGAGAAGAAATCATTTGGCGAAATTTCAGGAGACCTTGCTGGCTGTTTAATTTACTGTATGATTTATGCTAATAACGTTTCCGTTAAACTATTGTCTAAATGTTCCCGAACAGCCAGGGTCCTATGTGCCGGGCAGCCATCCATTGGGTACCAAACTCTCCTGTGATTTTCTTGACATCGTAATAGAAACGGGTGTATTCTGATTTCGAGTGGTTGCAAATAATATTTTAGGCGTTTTAGTTTTAAACGCAGAAGCCGGCGATAGTATTATTCCAGAATATCCCTGTTTAGTTTCTGGATATTAGCGTTTCGACAAACTGTGTTGCGTTTTCTTTGTTTCGATATCGGTAGTTTTTGAACATTGGGTTCGTTATTTAAGGTAAACGATGCATTTGTCAATTAAAGAACATATGTTTTTTAAAAGTTCCCTATCCGTGTTTTATCTTTTTCAAATGCATTGTCGGTAACGTGACTGTTTTGTTGAAACTCTTGGTGCTTTTCATATTTGAAGGTATATTGTATAGGAATTCGACCTTTCAGCCAGTTAATGATCTATTCCCTACCCATTTCATCCTCAGAGGAACATGGCGCTGATCTTTCCATGTTCTCTTCCACCTGATAAAACTTCAAGTCGGTATCATTTCTTGCGTAATACTTTGTTTCTGCTTACTTCACATCGTGCTTTTGATTGTTTAAAATGGGGTACCTTCTGAGATTCTCAAATATCTACTGCGGTTCGATTTCTTTGCGTTTATTTGGATTTTCTGGTCGGTTCTATTCGGCGGATACCGAACTGTGGCATTGTTCGACACTGCTGATAACTATTTCTTTGATAATACCATTTAATAATCAGTATTGCTTTTTCTTCGGGAGTGTAATTCATGGCTAATATTTTCGATGTAGGTATGAGTTTAATAATAGCAATGACACTAAATAAGATGAGTTTTACAAATGACAACTTCATTTGACAGTTATCAACTTCATTTGACAGTAATATTTTACCTTGACTGGAGCTCATAAGTAAATACAGGACCGTAAGAAAGGAGAAATATTTAAAAGAAATCGGCAATAACTCGTAAACGGAGCTAATCAAAAATATCTAAAGTTATTCTTTTGAGATGTGGGTTTAGTGCTCTTCACTAAACCTAAATGAAATTATTCTCTCGAAATAATTAGGGAAGCCAATAATTGACTCAACAATTAAAATTTACATGGGATCCTATGTCCCGCTCGACGGTACGTACCGGGCCATGGAATGTTTCTTTGACTAATAACTGCAAAATTAAAAAAAAAATTCTAATATATATTTTTTGTTTTTTTTGTAATAAAACATTTTGAAACTTTGTTATGGTTTATTATACAAAAATTGTTATATTTAAAAAAAAAAAAAAAAAAAAAAAATTAAGTTAAATATTAAATCCAATTGAGGTTCTTTCCACTAGACTCTTACTTTACTACACTTTACTCCAACGCCAACACCACAGATCCATTATTTATACCAACTCTCCTCCTACACACCTGCCCACGTTGACCGTTTTAAAATAACACATACACTGAGAAACGTGACGTTTTTTCTTCTAAACGTCTTCCGAGACAACAGAGGTATCAATCAGAGCGAGGTCATTTATTTAGACGAAAACTCCATTAGCTAACGCTGAAATGGTCTCAAGGCTAGACGAACGTGAACGTGTCCAAGCTTAAAATAACTTTTCTTATTAAAGGAGAAATTATTATCTTGGCTTGTTAACTCGGACAGGTTTTATAATTTATTTGTGGTAGAAACGGGTTAATTTAAGTTGTAATCATGTAATTTGATATAATTAGATATTGTTTGATTACATTTATGGCATATACGCAGGTGTCAGTTTTAAGAAAATAACAGATTTTCCGGTATTTTATATACTATGAGAGGACAAAATAAAATTTGCAATATTAATGGTATACTCTTTTTTTTAATCGACTAATGATTAAATAAATGTTTATGAACATCTAAAATTATAATTATAGGCCAGTTATGCTCTACTAACAAAACCGGTGATTAAAACTAATGCTCTTCATACGAACTACTGAAATGAAGACCTTAGGAATGATAACTGGATACATTGAGGGACAGATTGAAATGTAGACATAAAGGAGAAGGGTACCAAACAAACGGCGTTGTCAGAAAGGCAGAGAAGAAGAGAATGGAACCAACATGTCAATAGAATGGGCCCCGACAGATGGCCATAATAATTCGCAAAAACTTACCCCATGGCAGAAGACCTATTGGACGACCACCTAAACGTTGGCAAGACAGTTGGCAGTAAACCTCGCAAGAGTTGCTTAGACGAGGAGAAAACCGGAACTTCACAAACGGCATTTTCTTCAAAGAGAAGGAAAAGAAATTAAATACGATTTTCGGTATAACAAAGGGATATTTTCCGATGGTGGCGGCACCGGCGGAGATGCACCAAACCTATATAAACTCTGCAGGGCAATAAGCTGTTAAATCCTATGATATATTATGCCTATTAAAGTGGGCCCTTTTAGGGGAAGAACTTGATAACCACCAGCCGTCCAGGGAAATAACTTGAAGTCCATTTAATTGCGTTATTTTTTTTCAAATAGTTTTTTTTTTTTTCAGTGTAGTTATATTTTTTTGGGTTATGTTTTTATTTCCTGTTACTGTAATTATAGTAAACCTACAAAACATAATCCGTACATTAAACGTAGTTATCACATTGTTTGTTCTAGAGCCGTTTTATCATGTTTTTCTTTTGGACCTTTTTATTTTAATTTTTTTATGGCCCTATTTGAATAGACATAACAAAATAAATTTGACATTCTTACGCACTTTTTTGTTCTACAAGAGATGATGTTATCAGATTTCGCAACCAAAATTTTGTGCTCAAAACTTTTATTTTGTTTTGAAATAACTGCCAGGAGTTGGGTCTGAAACGCTTTTGGTCAGCTGTCAAAACTTCTAACAGTAGTAGTTCTCAAGGCGACCACGATTCACCAAATCATGAAGCCAAGTCAGGACCTAACTGCTCATTGCCTTTACTTCAGGTAAGTTTATCAAATAATCTCTATCTAAGGCCGTAGACTTTTTGGTTATTTTTATGCTTCTTTCTTCTTCGTGTGCCTTCTCCTCATTGGAGGTTGGCGCCCATCAATTGGAATTCCTACCTGTCTTGAGCCAAACGGATAATTGTACTGGCCTCCCCTATATTAAACCACTGGCGCAAATTCCGCAACCAGGAAAACCGTTTACGCCTGATGCCTCGTCGTCCTTCAATCTTTCCCTCAACGATCAGCTGTCGGAAACTATATTTGTTATTTCGAAAATTATGCCAATAAAATATGCTGCTTTCCGTCGTTTTATTGTAGTTAATAGTTCTTGGTCCTTACATTTTTCCTTACATCCTTACATTTTCCAATACTTCGAGATTTGTTATTCCAGGATATTTTCAACATTCGTCGGTATAACCACATCTCAAATAAATCCAAGCGTGACATGGTCCGTGCCTTCAACGTGCATCCCTCGACTCCGTATATCAATATAGACAATACATAGCATTTCGTAGCTCGCCATCGAGTAGTAGTCAGATTCAGATTCGAAGTTTGCAGAGTAGAGATGGTTCATTTTTTGAAGAAAAAAGTGTTTCTGGCTGTTTCAATTCTATGTTTGATTTCTTCATCAGGATCCCATTTTTTATTCAGCCAGCAGCCCAAGTACTTAAATCTTTACCCTTTTCTATATTATTTTGATCTTCCACGTATCCCACCAATTATTTTCGATATTTTGTTTTGCTGATAATCATAAATTTTTGTTTGTTTTATATTTATTTTAAGACCATGACTCTGACTAATACTGCTAACTCTGTCCACCAGGCACTGCAAATCCTCATTGCCAGCTAGGAGCACCGCACCGTATCGTCAGCATATCGGATGTTTATTAATAGGTTTACCATTTACCTTTATTCCAACTTCTAAATCTTCCAACGCCTCCTGGAATATCGATTCAGAATATAAAATTTAAACAAAAATTTTTTTTTAAAATGTTAATACCTAACGGTAATCCCTAAAAATTTCTATATCCGTTGTTGACATATTTGATTTTCATATAAACTGACTGATTCCAATATAAGTTTCTAATGATTCTGATGTTTTTGCCATCTAACCCAATCCGCTTCAGTAAATGTATCAGCTTGTCATGTTTCACATTATCAAATGCCTTCTCATAATCTATGAAACATGCGGAGGCACTTGTCTGCTGATCGAGGCAGTTTTGGACTAAAACCTGTATTGAGAACAAAGCATCTCTGGTTCCCAGCCCACTTCTAAAGCCGAATTGAGTTTCACTTATATTTTCGTCTATCCTTCTCCATAGTCTAGAGTGAAGGACACGCAGAAACACTTTTAATGTATGACACATAAAGCTTATCAGACGATACTCGTTTGCATCTGTTTGAGTTTGACTTTTTAGGGAGCGTTACAAATGTGGATTGCAGCCATTGTGTCCAACACCGGAGAGATACCTTGCGGTTAAAATTATTATTTTATCTACTATATATTTGATATAGGAGGCAATTTTAACAGTTGCTCTGAAAAAAAAACATTATCCTATCTGTTCGATAACGTTTGTTGTCCTACTCTAGCTTATAAGGATCTAAATTTATTCTCCTCTCAAATGGTTTGAAATTATTTTCAACTTTATTTAAATTACATATTTTCTCGACTATTATTTCAATCGATTAGCCTTTTAGTACTGAAAGTCACTGAAAATAACATTAATTTATTCATTTTTCGCTTCATGAATATGCAGAAACGACGCCGTTTGAATATAAATACTAATTTTGTTTTGTTAACTATATTTTAAAAAAAAAAAAAAAAAATCAGATTTATTTTATTTCTTTTATAAAATAATTTTTTTGTTTAGGTATAATAAAATTAATATCTTTTTAATTATACTTTTTTATTCAATGTTAGGTACTTGAGTGGAGACGGTGACAGATGTGTAGGTAGTGATAGGCGAAACTGGTCTTCATGGGATTATATCAAATGACTTAATAACCATTAAATATTGGTGCGATTCTAACCTCCTGAGTCTCAACATTTCCTAAAACTAAAGAGCTTTGTCGTTGTAAACTCGCTGCAACCTTTTGTACTTAACAACACACCACAAATTGACGTCATTAAAATCCTGTAAAATTCTTAGGACTTGTTGTAGACAATTCTCTGAAATGGGACATGCATATCGACGCTTTGTCGAAAAATTAAGCTCTGCCTGTTTTGCATTAAAGTCTGTTTCTAAGGAGCTAAACTTGTCAGTGACTAGAACTGTTTATTATGCATTTTTGAGTCGCACCTCAGATATGCGTTTCCATTCTGCGGTACGCGTTGTGCGACTCAATTTGACCGCATTTCCAGAGCTCAGAGAGATCTGTTCGATATTCTAGGACTAAACAGCAGAACTCATTGCAGGACTTTTTAAAAATTAATTTTATTAAAATTTATAATACGTATTATTATATGCATGTTGTTTTGCCTAATACGTAAGCATGCGTATCAGCTTCTCAAGAAGGCCAGACAAGATCTTTATCTACCTACCCACGCTCAGAGTTAGTTAAAAGTTAAATATTATTACAACTCGGAAAATGCACAATCACCTACCATTTGAAACCAAATCCAACATCCATTTCTTCATTTCACTTGAGACATTTGAAATCTTATTTACTAGACAAGGTTTTTTACGCCGTAAATGACTTATATCTTGATAATCGAATTTGATCTTGTAAACACTGGTCTAATGTTTTACTTTATTACTATATTTACCAATGACATCGAAATGGATTTATCTAGGGGTCATTGATATTTAGTATAAACTTACCAAATATTTTTGAATCTTATTTTTATTTTTCTTATTCTTTGACTTTGTTAACATTTATAAATGTTTATTTTTAAACAAAAAAGACTGACAATGTTATTTGTATATTGTTTTGTATTCTCTTCTCTCTTTTGATTTTTTTGTTTACTTTGTTTGTTTACTTTACCTTTGTCTACAAATTGTAATTTTTTTGACAATAATTTTTTTTTTTTTTTTTTTTTTTTTTTTAATTAACAATTAAATTACTTAAAAATACTATTTATTTAAAGATTTTTTTTTTTGTTTTATTTCTATATTTCTGACTGAATGAAATAATTTGGCAAAAATTCTACATTTTATTGATTTTGGATAAACATTTTTATTATAAACAAATAAATAATATTTTTCGATAATATAATATATTATTATATAGAAATTATAAGAAATTAATTATACCGACCTTCATGTAATATTCCGGAAATAAATTTTCGTAGTATAACGAATCATAAAGTCGAAACAGCCATTAACAGAAAGATTTTACTGTTATTGTATTCGTAATGACGAACGAACTGTTTCTATATTGATTTACTGTGGTTTTATATGAAGTTATTTTCACAGTACCAAACTAGCAATTTTATAGACTTTTAAATCATTCTATTTGTTCTTGTCATTGATATTAATATGAGTTTCTATCGTCTTGGTTACGCTAACTATAAATAGAGTTATAACTCACTTGGGACATTATTAATGAGAACTAAGATGCCATAATTCCCTCTACCTTTTATAGGTTACAACCATGAAATACAAAAGAGATTTTTAGTAATATTATAAAATGAAAAGCACTCATCTAACTACTCTGTTAATTTATTTACATCATTAATGTCACATATTATAATAAATTTACAAGGGAACCACCTAAGGAGGAGAGGAGGAGGAGGAGGAAGCGTACAAAGTTTATCCCGACATACTCTACCACAAATAGCTTGTCCCAGCCACTGAAGATATTTTTATATTCCTTTTGGTAAATGGATGTACTATTAGATAGAAGTAATGCTTGCCGTGCTTCTTCAGCTTTTTCTAATATTTTCTCCATTTTAATCCAAATAAACCAAAATAAACAATAAAAAAAAAATTTTAAATAAAAAACTAAACTCTAACTGAAATAAGCTAATATTAGTGAAAATATGAATTGGTTTGTAAAATCTGACAGTTTGGGGCTGGGAATGTTTTTCCCGGGTTTTTATTATCATAAAACATGCCAAAATTCAAACAAGTTCCAAAATGTGATTTGGTTGATGATTCTACCTTTTAAATGAAGCATTGAATCATTAGAAAATATTAATTACAGCCATGTTTTTTAAACAATACGTCCTATCAATCAATGATATACTTGTGAAATCTATCTCCAGAGCGTTAAGACATGGAGAGAAAATTTAGGGATCTTCGAGGCGTAATATCTCAAAAACAATCAGATTAAATCTATTTATTTTTTAATGATAATAGATGATAGATAATAATTTAGTATTCAGTCATTGTTGTTCACTCTGTATTAAACACTAATGGAGCAAGAATTGCTCTTCGTTTTCAGTTTTTCTTTCTACAATCATCTAAATCGAAGTACCATTTTTCTTTCTCAAACACAGCAAACTGTGCCTGATTTATTAACAATCCTCTCCCCTATTTCGGGTCTCTAATGTCGATTTATTTCATATAGGTCTGGCCGAGTTCGGACTCACCCCGCGGCGAGGCCGACGGGCAGAGCTTCGTTTTTCCTGAGTACGCTGACGACAACGTTTCGCAACATTCAACCTGTCTGGACGTGATCAATCACACGGATTCTGGCATTGATTCAACACAAGTAAGATTGAATTAGTTATCTGTAACGATAGTGTTTATAAGACTGACAAAATCGACTATTTTCGGTATATCGGAAATGTTGTTGGAAAAAAATTCAAATTTGGATTTTAACCGATGTTATTCAATGAAAATAAAATTTCCGATTTGCATTTATTCCTTGGCCAGCTTGCGTGTTTTGTTGTAGTGCATAATTTCATTGTCTACGACTGACGTTTCTTCTTTCTATATTGAAACAATAAAAAAGTGTGCTGTAAAACAAATTAGTAGTTTATTTTCCGGTTGTTTTCTTATTCATTTACGACGTTTTTCAAGTGAAAAAAAAAAACAGTTATTTTTTTTTTTTTTTTTTAAATTTTTAATATGGTTAAAAAATAAAACAAAAAGTTTATTCAATTAGCATATACCCTCAAAACCTTCCCGGAAAAGATACAGTCCTCGAAAGGTTAAATAAAAATAACATACATATTTTATTTATTCTTGTATTAGTATACCGTTCTTCCTGAGATTTGGTACTTTTACAAACATTTTAATGACAAAGCGAATGGATATCGCATAAAGTTCCATAACAGCCCTGAAATGGTACTGTCTATTAGGGTAGGGAATTTTACTTGTGGTAGTCTTTTATCTTTATAGATGAATTGAATTTCAACAAATGGCATAAAAAACTAGCTTTTTCTAAAAAGATGATCTTTGTTTAGTTCGAAACGGTAAATATTTTTCAAGATATTTGCGTTTAAAGATTATGATGCATCGATTTTAGTATTAAGTAATAAAGTGATAAATTCTTGTAAAGAAATTTTTAAATAAAGAAATAATCGCTGACTTTTCTAATGGCCAAAATCGATGTTTCGAAATCTTGCTTATAAATATCTGAAAACAGTCCTCGTTTTGAACTAAACAAACAACTTCTTTAATAAGAGGGTTTTCTTCTTCTTCTTCTTATCACGCCCTCTCATGCCGAAGGTTGGCGATCTAAATGGCAATTGTGGCTCTGGAAACTGCAGCCCGGAGAATTTCCTGCAGACGAACGTTCAAACCATCTCCTTCATTTTTTTAGCCATGAGTTCTGTCGTCTTCCTACTGATCTTTTCCCTTTCACTTTGCCCTCTATTATGAGGGCGCAGTATTTCGTATCTATCACCTCTGATCACATGACCCAGGTATTGCATTTTTTTTCTTTCAGCAGTGGTGTTCAATTGTATCACTTTTTGTTTCTGCATGCGCATGGAGTACTTTATCGTTGGTGATCCTTTGTACCCATGAAATTTGCAGCATCCGTCTGTATACATATATTTCGAAGGCTTCTATTCTCTTTTCGGTCTGTGAATTTACTGTCCAGCTCTCACATCCAAAGAGTAACACAGAGAAGACATAGCATCTGGCCATTCGAGTTCACAGGTTCTACACTGGGGTCTCGTCTTGTAAAAATGATTTCATACTCACGAAGATTTTTCTCTCTTGCTCAATTCTTGAAAATAGTTCTCTTTTCGGGTCGCACTGACTATTGATGTTAGCTCCTAAATACTTTATTAAGAAAGGTTTAGCTTTAATTAATAAGGATAAAAGAAGTACCACTAGTAGTATTCTCTACCCTAATGGAAGGTACCCTTTCCGAGCTGGAAATATATACTATCGCCTTTCGCTTTGGCATTATACTGTGTGTAAGATTGTTGGCATTAGAATGTGTGTAAATGTTAAGAAAAACTTTTTTATTTTTTCCTTTTGTCAGAAATGGTTTTATAGAAAGGAATAATAAAATTAATCTCAATTTCAAGACAACCCTTTTTTCTGCACAGTCCACTGTTACTCTTTTGTAATAAATTATATTACACAGCGTTAATTGAATTTAACAAAGTTTATTTGTTGGTAGCCCAGTTCAGCGGAGGGGGGGGGCGAAAAATAAAAATTCAAATTAATTTCAATTTGGGGCTTGAAAAACCGACGCCAGAGCAGTAAATTCACGTTCTAACGTAGATTAATTGAGTTTAAAAGTTGAAACCGAGAGGTCTAAGATCGGATAGTTTAAAACTTTAATGTTCTTTGTTCTTTTCGTCGGTTTTTTTCTCTATTTTGATCTTTATTTACTGCTGTTTTTGTAAGTTTTGAAAACCCAAACAGAAGTGACTCACCATGACTTAAAAATTCATAAATTTTAAAAAGTGTTTATCAGTGTTGATATAAAATGTTTTTTTTTATTATTTTATATTTATTTTTACACCTTCGTTCCGTTTGAAAAAATTGAGTTAATGATTAAAAATACGGTTTAGACCTCTTTTAACCGGTCAGGAAAAGTCGCGACAAAATATTAGACGATCAAATCTATTTTTCCAAAGCTCCCTAATTAAAAAACTAGTAGTTTTGACATAGCCACGGCTCTCTAGATTGAAATTTAAAATGCTATTTTTTAATAGAAAATGCCGAAAGTGAATGAATTTATTTTGAGGTTAGTTTTTTACAGATGAAAATATTTGCTCTACAATACAATGGAAAAACAAATAAAAATCATATGCTGACCAAATTGACTTTTTAGTAACAGCACATCGATTGTTATCGCAACTTTAGCATTATTTTAAAATAATTGAAAAAAAAATGTAGGCACCAACTTTATCGGGGGGAGTCGGTCTCACTGTTGTAATTACATGTACATTTTCCTGACAGTAGCTGGCAGTTGTTGGCAACAGTTTTATGACACTCGACTATCATTATATGGCAGATATAGGCAGTCGTTGGTCTTGGCAGTCACATTTTTTTTTGGAGAAAGAAACTTAGATGACAAATGTGGATAAAGTTTGAAAATAAATATCTTCATTCAGAACCTCGCAATTAGTGAAATAAATTAGTGGTTTCAATTACACTTTATACTTTTCAGTTTACGATCATTCACAATGTCTAAAAAACACAATTAAAATTAATAGAATATTCTAGCAACAGCTTTCAGCTTTCAGTAGTCAGTCGTATCCATAGAGAAAGCCTAATATTTAGCTTATAAAACAATAAACTTTCGATTTTTAACCACAATTTCTCTTGACGGATGATAATCTAAGGCAAAAATGACCCAAGTAACAAAATTCCGACTTCCGACTAGTTTTGACTACGCGCAACGTTGAAATTGGTACTTTTCCCTACCCTATGCATATCCAAAGCTTAAATTACGTAGCCAAAACGTCGCTACGACATTGCACTTTAACAGTTGTATGTTTTGACCCTTAACAACGTTGGTAAACGTTGTAGGGCACAACGTTGTTAGAAGTTGGGTTTTATACCGTTGTCATTACGTCGCCAGAGGGCATGTTCTTGTACTACAGAATTACAAACGTAGTACAACGTTGTGCAACGTACTTTTAAATTACGAGTATAAGTACAAGCTAACTACAACGTAATACAACGTTTCATTAAACGACCCAAAGCAACTTAATTATAACCACTACGTTGGGTTACGGCGACGAGCGCGACGATATTGGATTCTCTACTGTACTGTCACAGAGCAATTGGTTAGATATTTCTTCTGTGGTACTTACTGTGTAAAGCGCAAAGAAGATGTATAGGAAAAAAGTATATAAATACTCTACAACTTTTTATAGAAAAAGGAAAAAGTATTTAGAAGAAAGTCAGCGAGCAAGTCAGTGTCCGAAAAATGAAGTGGAAATAACGAGTTTAGGTTCGTCATCCACATCCTCGCAATCATGTATCGAAGGAACGTCCACTTCAATTTTGAAAAGTAATAGTACTACTAGTGGTAGCTTATCATCAATGGATATTATAGAAATAAATAACAGTACACCTGAAGCCCATACAACAGAGGAATACTATAAGAATAATGATCCTCCAGAAGAGCAGTCAACTACTGAAGTTTATACTGACGTCCTTTCGACAAAAATAAAAACATTTTTAAGTCAGTGGAGTGTAAAAAATAATATATCCCATTCAGCTGTAAAGCAGCTTTTAAAAGGATTATCATCTTGTGGTATAAAAGGGCTGCCGATTGATGCACGAACAATTCTTCAAACACCAACAACTATTTGTATAAAATGTATATACGGCTTTTTTAACAATAAATAAATAGAAATACTGATCTAATGTCAGCGATCTTATTAACGAGTATGTGACCACCACCACCATAGGATGACCCAGCTTTATTATTTATTTTATTGTTCCTAGGTAAAAAAGAGCACTGTAAGAAGGAATTTCCTTATTTACCTCCTAGATGTCGGTAGGGTTCAGAGGTCCTATTTCGTCAAAGCAGGTGTCAATTGGTTGACAATTGGTTGAGTTGACCAAGTTGACATAGATGGCCCAAAGGTCGGTTACCGCAACTTATGCACTATATTGGTATTTTAAAAGTTGTATTTTAAAGGTAACTCCGCCATTTTAATACAACTTATCATTTCGTACGTTGTGGACGAATTGAATAAAAATATCAGAAACCACAAAATACTGCGAATTTCGTTAAAAAAACTGTATCTGTGAGGGTTGTAAGCTAATTTTCCTGATAGATTTCGCATATTTGTCTCAAAATTAAAAAAAAAGTTAGGTTAACCAAGTAAACTATAATTTTAAAATTAAAACTAGGAAATAAAACGGGGTTTTGCCATATTTCGAAGTATCATGGTCCCTTTCAACAGTAAACTAATCTTCGTTGATGAATTTCGATTGCCGACATCTCAAAACTTTGCAGATTTGTCGGAGTTAAATTCACCTAGTTATTTCTTAATGGAGCATAATATATCCCATTTCTAATTCATACATCATCAGCCATCACCAAGTTAATCGAAATCAATGTTTTCGTTTCCCCATGGTTGAATATAGTAATATTTGACGAATATTTTTAACTCTAACCTCAAAATATCGCGAATCGGCATGAAAAACAACTTTTAGCACACGACGTACTACGTCGCCTCAAATAACGTTGTAGCGACACTAAAAACATCCACCATTCATCCACCATGATGCAAATATGGGTCGCTTAGACGTCACTTCGACGTTGTCCGGCAACGTTGGGTTGCTCCTAGCGACGTTGTGATTACGTTGAACATCGTAATTTTGCTACTTGGGGACATTCCTCGCAAATTTTGAAGTATAGTTAGTGGAAATGTTAAAAATTTGTTAACTTTTTCTACTAATTGGAAATGACTACCACTAATTTTGGCGTTCTGAATGATTCCATTGAAATTAAAGGAACAAATTTCTACTCTAATTGAAACCACTAATTTTGAGGTTCTGAATGTAGCTTAATAGTAATTAATTTTAATAAAAGTAGTTTTAATAAAAACATATTTGCATTAATTTGTTCTTTTTGAAGTTAAAAATATTTGATTTAACATCTTCTTTTTGTTGTTAATGCTAATCTGGACGAGACCTCCATTATTTACGCCGAATCCAAACCGTGGTTTTCGGCCATATCATTGTCAATAGCTTAATCGACTCTTACTCACGATATATCTGATCTCCTCCGGCCAAAAACCGGCGTGAATCAGCAGTGTATTATCACCAGAGTTTCCAAACGGTTACCCGTCCATCTACGCGCGTCTTTTAATGTCGCTTAACTTGATTGGGTAATTTATCGGAAAGCGGGTGCCTTGTCCTTTTTAAATTGTCTCTATGTGGTAAGAAAACATAATCATTTGTTTTTTCTTTTTAACATTTTAATGATAATAATATAATGAGACAAAAAAACTTTTTTTAGGTATCCCCATTGCCTCCACCTGTCATAACCTCTCCAATACCCTCACCGACTCCAAGTGGCAGAAGACCAAGCAGCACCCTGCTCCATCCGGACCATGCCAGACTTTTCCGACTGTATCCAGTGTCGTCGCCTGATCAGACCTCCATAGAGGATATTTCCGATCACCAGAATAATCCAGGACTGTCGCCGTCGTCTTCTACTACGTCATCACTGACATCGGTGGCTGCAGGTAATGATTCGTGGCATTTTAGTATATATTTGTTGAGTAGAAAATTGTTAAAATGTGGCTTTTAATATACAGGCAGTATTGTATTATTGGAATATTTTTTTGCAAGCTGGGGAGTATCTTAATCATCAGTTCATCTCAGGTTAGTTGCTTTTTGATTTATTTAATTATTTTTAATCAACAACCACATACATATATGCAATATATTTTAACTAATATAACTTAATTGAAAATATTTTAATCATTTCCTCATCATTTTAGATTGTATAGTCGCTAAACATTTTTCCAAAAAAGGGTTTTTGTTGATTTATTCTTTTAATTTCCAATTACGGATTATTTTAAATCAGTTGTCTGTTTCAGTGTCTTTGTGAAAAAAAACTTCAAAAAAAAAACTTTTTAATTTACCTAGTGAAAAGGTTTATACTTATACACAAATTATAGCAATCGGTCTACATCAACCTAAAATTTAATCTGGCTTTTAAATTAATTTTAGGTTACTTTGAAACGTTCTGAAACTTTTAGTACATAAATAATTTTCACGCAGTATTTTTGGCTATTTTTGTATTCTTTGAGTGTTAATATTTTATGGCTTTTGTAATTGTGTGATGTTTTGCAAGAACACAGTGATTTACCGTAATTTTAGCATTAAAGCATGTGTCTGCTGGTTCTCATCGACATACCTATAAATATACATAAAACATACCAATAATACATCTTACATTCTACAAAGGCCTTTGATGCTAAAATTGTTATTAATTGGCACAGTCTTCCACAAAAGCGAATATCTCAACATAAATAAAACTATTGAATAAATCAAAACAAACTATATCGAGGAGGAGAGACGCATCTTAATTATAAGGTAGTTTTAAAACTGTTTTAACCATTCACAGGACGTTTCAAACTTTTACCGAAAACGGCGGCGTTTGTTTTCCATCGTATATCAGGCGGATAGAGGACGCCAAGCAGTAAAATATTTTAGCGTGGTGATTTAAAAATCCGCCAAAATCATAATTATAAACTTTAAGTTTATTGTTTTTTCTACCAAAATATATTTTTATTTTTTGAAGCTGCTCACTGGTTATATTTTCCCCGTTCTTAGGTGACGGCAGCCGGCAACTCCCTTGCCGGTAACTCCCTGGCAAGCAACTCCACGGACAGCCGTCGTCGTTCCTCCACCATGACAACTAGATATTCCCTCTTCGACGCTCTTGACCTCGAATACGCCCTCCTCAGAGCCGCAGCTAGGGGCAGCGTGGGTCCATACTCACTCAGCGAGAGCCTGCACAAACTCACCTTCACTCAGAGCCTAGCCTTCCCAGCACTGGCTCGAGGACTGGCCGGTAAACGAAGGAGATCACAGCAAAACAACAATAGCACACCTCTGGATACTGGTGATAGTGGATTGAACGCTTTCGCCAAAGTGATCACTGTGCTGGTGCTGGTGTTGGTGAGCGTTTTAGTGTTCGCGGTGGTGTACAAGTTTGTGAGGACGTGAGGGTTACTTCTGGCTCCCGGAGGAGCAAGAAACAACAGGTTTGTGATTGGGAGGAACACAAGTAGTGACGGTCGAGGTGTTAATGGGTTTTTGTAAGACTTAATTGAGTTTTTGGTTGTTAGATTCGGTGAACTAAGGCCACAGATGTATTAAAGAAATACTAAACTTTGGGACAGGTTTTTCAATTAAAGTAATACTAATAATAGCGCCTGTGTTTTTAATAGATATTATGATAAATTAAATTTTATAGTATGAGGGAGAAAAAAACTTTTGACATTTTCGAATATGGTTTATTTGGTTATTAAAATTTCAACATGCGATCATAACGATACGACTCTAATACCAAGTATGTGGTAACAAATTATTCGTAAAAACATCTTTTCCCAAATATGTTAATGAACCAATTAATTCCATTCCATTTCAAAAATAAAAAAAAAATAGATACTTAAAATACGATTTGGGCATATTGTAACTGGTCAAGACAAGACACTAAAACATTACACGATCAAATTAATTTTCCAAGGCTCCTTGATTATAAATTATGGTTTTAACACAGACATAGAGACATTCTAGATTTTTTCTAGAATCTAATTTTGTTTTTAAGCAAATGTCAAAGTTGACATATGACATGTCATTCTATTCAGAGTAACATTTTCTATCGAATAAAGTAAAAATACCGAGGGTGTCATTTAAAAAATTAAAAGTTGTAGCCATTTCCGGTGAAACAGAGAGTGACCGAAACCAACTGAATATCATATACTAACATAGGTACCAAATCTCGCTTTTATATCTAAAAATATCTTATGATCAATAATGATTCGTCAGCTCAGTTAGCTGTCTATTATAAACAATTTTTATATTATTTTTATTATTTCGATTAAAAAATTGTTTTAAAAACGCTATTTTAGTGTTACTAAACAACTTAATAAGGTGTACAAAGAATGCCTATGGTCCAAATTCGACCATACATTGTGATAGTTCTAAAAGGAATATATGCTTTAAATTATATTTAGATTTAATCAATATAAATATATATTTGTAAGATCAAACAGTATTTAACTCAATGGAGATTATCGTGTATAAGACTTGTATAAGATCTCCCAACTTTGGCTCATAAATAATGTAAAAATAAATATATCTTGCGCAAAAATTTGTATATAAATAACCTACCCTATCTCTATCAGATTTTCTTGTTAATATTTGTTATTTATTAATATTTGTACTATTGTCCTCTATTTTTTTACGCTGATGTAATGATTGTAACTTACACCTTCTTGTAACCATTGTTATTCCTATGTTTAAAATACTGTAAAATAAAATATTCTATTTCTTATCCTGTTTTTATTATTACTTTTTAATTAGTTTACAAAAAATATTTAAGGAATATCAAAAATACCAATAAACCAGATATAGTTTATTTCTTACTAAGTATAGGTTCTAGACATAACGTCCTACTTTATTTTTTTAATGATTATGTTTATCAAAACTAATGACAGTTTAATTTTATACACAAGAAAAATAATAAACATAAAGTTGAATGATAAAAGTGTAAAGTAAAATTACTAATAAAAATCATTTTTGTACAACATACTATTCATTTAATTTTATTTTGTGAAAAAAATATAAAATTGGTTATTCCACCACATTTGTTGCGTTTTTATTAGAAATATTAAAAAACTTTGTACAATAATACAAGTAAACAAAAATGAGTTTTTAATACTGAGGAATTTCATAATAGATCAACAGATTGTATAAGTCTATGTTTTATAAAAGAGATAACAACTACATATTATATGCTATATTGTCTAAAAAGTTCTGTAGTACAGCTTTGCGCGTTTTTAGTCTAATCATTTAACAGAGTTTCGAAAAATCCAAATGATATGTAAATTTAACACCTAGTTTATAACAAAGCCATTCCCAAGTAGCATCTATCTGGCTTCGAACTAAATCTGACCTGAAGCGACGTCAGACTTTGTGCAAATTTAGGTCGGGTGCTCGTGATACGACCTGTGTCGTCGCTTTCCTATTAAAGCGACGTCGTTGGATCCGAGTCGGTAAATCCAACGATCTGTCGACGTACAAAATAACAACGTACCATTTTATTAATTTCCCAACGTCGTTCCCACGTTGGTTTCCACGACGTACATATACTTGAACCAGCCCGACGTCTACCCGTTGTCCGAACAGGATACGTCCCACCGACAACCTCTAAACTAATCACTATATTTTGCCATTTTTATGTTCATAGTTATAACCTAATTTACGTATCTCTATTTATGTCCGTAAATACAACCTATTAAGTAGCATTTGCGACCTAATGAACATCATGAATATAACCTAATAAAAGTTTTTGTAAACAAACTTAAATTTTTTATTATGCCTAAAAAACACTAAAAGGCATTTAGACATTCATCTACATTACATTGACAGAAAGAGGTCGAGGCTTTTGCAAAATAATAATGGTAGTAGGGATGTCTTGCCTCCACCCGTAAATGCTTTTTTATCCGAAGAAATGCTGCATTACACTGGTGTATCTTAATTTCATTTTTAGCTTAGGGATACCAGTTAGCCCCCATCCTCCTCCGACATGTGATAGGGCTTAAAAAGTGGCTGAGCAATACGTAACTGAACGAAGTACAACAG